CGCCCTTCTCCACAACCAAATCTTGTTGAACGGGGATAATCAAAATAGAGGGGGTTAAGGGGGGGGCGATGTGTTTTATCATCGCCCGTACGCGGTGAATGATCAGGAGGGAGAACAAACACGCAGACACAATCAATCGTCGATTCCCAAGGGAAATATGGGAAACTATGGGAAGTGGGGAGGAAGACAAAAACTCAGAACATACGGGAAAATATGGGGAATCCTTGTATTTGTGTGTATTTCTTTGTGCGTCCTGGGGCCCCTTTTCAAATGACAGGGGGTGCCGCGCTCGGCGTTTTGGGAGAACGCGCCGATTTTTGGCCAGGGCTGGGGTCCCCCTATGGGGGCCCCGAGCCTTGGGCGCTCCCCGCGCCCGCCCCTGCGACGGGCGCCAGCGTCGAGAGCTTTTGGGCCCGCGCGCACGTAGACATCTGCTGCTCGAAGACGAGGATGACGCGCCGTGAAGGTAAAATAGGGGAACAAAAAGTGACATAAACAGAAATACTCGGAGGTCCGCGCGGATTCCTCGGATCCGCGCTGGGGCCCCCCGGCGGCGCTTCCGGCGCCGCCCCTGGCGCGCTCCGCGCGCCAGGGAGGGGGGTCCAGCGCCGATCCGAGAAATCCGCGCGGACCTCCGAGTTTTTCTGTTTATGCCACTTTTTGTCCCCCTAGGTAAGACTTCTGGCGCTCCGCGCGGATTGCTTGGCTCCGCGCTGGGCCCCCCTGTGCCGTTTTCTCTTCTTCTGACTGCAGTGCCGTTTTTCATACATGCTCCGCGTGCGGACCATGTATAACAAATGCAGGGTTGCAGCACTAAAAGCAACGATGAGTTCGTGCGTAAGCTCATTCCTAAACCAATCACGTATGGAAAATCCTAGATCTTTTAAAATCCAATGCCTTAAAAACTGCCCTGTAGGCGTGCAGCGGGCCCCAACGGGGTCGACGCGCGCGCTCAGAGACCTCCCAGCGCCCGCTCGGTGACGGGCGCTGCCCGGCCACTGTTGGCCCGGGCCGCGGGTGCTCCCCATCGGGGAGCTGCGCGTGCTGCGGGCTGCCGGCGCGGGCGTGCGCCTCTCCCGGGCGGGCGCGCAGCGCTCTCGACGCCGCTCGGACGTGCGCATTTTTCCTCCGGCGAGGACCATCGAGGAGCATCCTTGATCACTTGGCGAAAAAGCCACGCGCAAAACCGACAAAAGCGCAGGGAACGGACGTCCGAGCGATGGCCAGGTGCTGGTGTGCCCTTCTGCGTCCGCTCCTGGCGTGGGATCCTCGGGGGGGCCTCGCTCGTCCCCCCAAACTGGTGGCCTCTCTCTTGTGCCTGACGCGGGCTCGGTGCGGACTCGACGCGGAGTTGCCCCGGCTTCGACGCGGATTCGACACGGACCCGACACGGATCCGACGAGGCCGACACGGACTCGACACGGATTCGGGGCGGATGCGGCCGCGACGGGACAGATGAGGTCCCCCGAAGATGCAACATCATATCAATATGTCCTTCTGCGTCCACTCGGAGACGGGGGGTGAGGACTACAGTCGGAACAAGGGTCAAGAGTTAAGTCGGGCCTGAGGGGGAATATTCAAACATAGCCAACAAAAAGTAAGGGGACTATATTTTTAGTATTTTTTTGGAATCTTTTGAGTACGTTTTGAGTATTCTTTATTCTTCGTCCAAAATCCCCCTGTAGGGGGACAGGCCCGACCTAAGTCAAGAGCGACCCTGGCATATCGGAGGGGTAGGCTGGCATTCTTCGGGGCCCGGCTCGCCGCCCTGGGATGGTCGCTCGTCGCTCCTCTGGTGTCTCTCCGTGGGGCCTGGGGCCTGCCAGCACAGAGGCTCCTGCTCCTCCTCCTCCTCCTCCTCCTCCTCCTCCTCTTCCTCCTCCTCCTTTCCTCCTTTCCTCCTCCTCCTCCTCCTCCTCCTCCACCTCCTCCTCCTCCTCCTCCTCCTCCTCCTCCTCCTCCATCCTCCTCCTCCTCCTCCTCCTCCTCCTCCTCCTCCTCCTCCTCCTCCTCCTCCTCCTCCTCTCTCCTCCTCTCCTCCTCTCTCCACTCCTCCTCTCACTCCTCCTCCTCCTCTCCTCCTCCTCTCTCCTCCTCCTCCTCCTCCTCCTCCTCCTCCTCCTCCTCACCTCCTCCTCTCCTTTCCTCCTTTCCTCCTCCTCCTCCTCTCCTCCCCTCCTCCACCCTCTCCATCCTCCTCCCTCCTCCTCCTCCTCCTCCTCCTCCCCTCCTCCTCCTCCCTCCTCCTCCTCCTCCTCCTCCTCCTCCTCCTCCTCCCTCCCTCCTCCTCCACCTCTCCTCCACTCTCCTCCATCCTCCCTCCTCCTCCTCTCCCCTCCTCTCTCTCCTCCTCCTCCTCCTCTCTCCTCCTCCTCCTCCTCCCTCCTCTCCTCCTCCTCCTCCTCCTCCTCCTCCCCCTTCCTCCTCCTCCTCCGCCAGCGCCAGCTCGGGCCAAACCGTGGCCCCCGAGCCAGCGCCACGGCGCTCCCGCGCCGCCCAGGGGCCCTCCCTCCCCTCCTCGTCGCGCCCGTCTCCCTTCGCCGCGGGATGGACCGGTCGGCCGGGCTGCGGCTGGGCTGCCGCCGCCGCCCGAACCGCTCTGCCGCGGGGCGCCGCGCGCAGTATGCGCGGGCGCAGGGGCGGGCGGCGCAGCACCTGCTGCAGGCCTTCGAGGCCATCACGGTGCACCGCGGCCAGCAGCTGTCGAGGCTGGGCCATGCGGTTCGCCTGGCGCTCCTGGAGGGCCCGCCTGGAGACCCTGCCGAGGGTCGGGCTCATGGCGAAGCAGGTGCTGGAGCTGGAGATGAGGGCGCCGTGCAGGAAATCACCAGCACTCCTCAGCAGGCGGAGGTGGCGCCTGGCGGAGTCACTGGTGCGGCCGCCGACTCCGTGCTGGAGCCCGCGGTCATCGTGGAGGACTTTGCCGATGTGCCGTCGGAGGAGGCGCCGAAGGGCGAAGGGCGTGCCGTGGGCCCTCGTGTCCAGGGAGAGGCCGCTCCTTTCGCTGCGGAGGCGCCAGGCGCGGCCGCAATCCCTCCCGCGGGGCCCCTGCGGGGGGTAGCTTCCCCTGATGCGGTGGAGGCGGGCGCGGGTGCTCGTGACGGAGGCGTTGGCGCGGACGTTGGTGCGCTGCTGCGCGGGCTCGGGACGGCGATGGCGGCAGCCACCCCTGCCCCGTCGGCTGCCGAGCGATGGGCGACCAGCGCTGAGCGTGCGCGGCTCCCCCGAGACGCCGATGCTCTACGTGGCGCTTCGGGCTCGGAGGAGTGCAAGCAGAGTTGAACTACTTCGACTCGTACGGCTTCCACCTCTCCTTCGTGTACTCGGGTTCCCGTTCTGGGTCGTCGCGTTGCTGGAGGAGGTCAGAGTGGCGGGGAGCTTATAATTTTTTATTATCGCACCGCGATGGAGCCCAGCCCAGCCCAGCAGCTCCTCCTCCTCCGCCTCCTCCATCTCCTCCTCCTCCTCCTCCTCCTCCTCCTCCTCCTCCTCCTCCTTCTCTTGACCCACTTCCTTTTTAGCTCAAGCCACAGCGGGCGCAACAAACTGGCACCAAAATGTGAGCGTGCGCACTCGTTATCCCCCCCCGTGGGGTACCGAGTGCGCAGGGCTTATTCAGTTCGGAGCCGAACCTGTGTATGCCGTTTTTGGTTTGCCCCTCCTTTCAGGACTTCCCGCCTCAGGACCATGACGCATCACGGACGGCCAGACGATTCCAGACATCGGCCTTCCTTCCTTCCTCCTCTGGCGAGGACCATCATAGGCCTCTGCCTCTCCGGTGGTGACCATCATAGGCGCCACCCCTCGGCAGCTACCATCATAGGGTCTGTCGGGGTCCCACCCCCATCAGTACACTAATCCATGAAGCCGTCATTGGCGCTGGAGGAGGCCCTGGCGCTCATCCGGTTCTCCAGGGCAGTGGCACGTCCTCAGAGGGCCCGACTGCGAAGGAGGGGGAGGCGGCGGGGGCGAGGTGTTTGTGTCCGCGCGTTGAGGCTTGTCTTTGAAAGACAGCGGCGAAAACTCCTCCGCGTGTTCTCCTCGGCATGTTCGGCACCACTGCTGCCTCGTGAGGCGTGGCGATTTTCGCGCGTGGTGCATCGTGGGCAGTCGCAGCGAACGGCGTGACCTGGCTCTGATGTCCCCCTCCTCCTCCTCCTCCTCCTCCTCCTCCTCCTCCTCCTCCTCCTCCTCCTCTTCCACCTTGCCATCCGTCTCCTTCTCCCCCTTGCCTTCCTTCTCTGGTGGCGCGGTGTGGCGGGGCCCCGCCGCGGCGGGCCCGATCTGTTCTGTGGGGCCCCCGTTCGGCGTGGCCTGGCGCGCCATGTTCGACCCTGGCCAGAGATTTCGCTCGTCTGAGCAGGCGCGGCGGAGTAATTAGCGCATTCATGTCGTAGGACCTTGGGCCCGACCGGTTGTCCATGTCTTGTGAGCGTATTTCTTTTTGGCTCAGGCGGATATGGGGCGATTTGTGCTCAAAGTCCTTTCATTAAGGCACGTTGTGCGCCGAATGTTCCCGTGGCCTTTCCCATCCGGCATGCACATCCCCTGTAAGTTTCACTGTCGTCTCATTCTGTCCTCATCTCGCCGATTTTCCAGTTTCTCTCCCTCGCCCTCTCCTCCTTCCCTCATCCCCCTCCCTCCTCTCACCCCTCCTCTTCCCCGTCCCCCCTCCCTCTCGCCCCCCACCGCCCTTTTCCTCTCTTCCCCGGCGTCGCCCCACTGTCGTCCCCCATGTCGTCCCAGTCATCGTTGTCGTCCTTGTCGGCATTGTCGTTGTCGTCGTCGTCGTCGTCGTCGTTGCTGCCGCCGTCGCTTCGTCGCCGCCGCCGTCGCCGTCCTCGTCCGCGCCTCTTTTGTCGTGGACGAAATGGGCCGCCCAGGAACAGCCACGGCCGCGGAGGCGCGGCCGCGTTCCGCGAAGAGCCCCGCAACGGCGTTGGCACCCCGCAGCGCGGTACCCCGCCGCCCGTCGACGCCGCTGGGATGCTCCTCCCGAGGACCGTGGGCGCGGCGGCCCGCTCGCACCGTCGTGATCGCCGTCGTCGGCGTCGCCGTCGTGGTCGGTCGTGGACCTCGTCGTGGGTGTTGCACGTCGTGGGCGGTGGGCGTCGCCGTCGGCCCCGCCAGCCCGTCGTCGTGTCGACGCCGTCGTCGCCACCGGCGACGCATCGAAGTGATGACGTCGATCTGCCCTCCGCGCGGTTTGGTTTTTATCTGTTGTTGCTGTTGTCGTTGTTGTTGTTGGTGTTGTTGTTGTCGTCGTGGTTGTTGTTGTTGTTGTTGTTGCCGTTGTTGTTGTTGTTGTTGTTGTTGTTGTTGTTGTTGTTGTTGTTGTTGTTGTTGCTGCTGTTGTTGTTGTTGTTGCTGTCGTTGTGGCTGTCGTTGTTGCTGTTGTTGTTGTTGCTGCTGCGGTCGTTGTCGTTGTCGTTGTCGTTGGCGTTGTCGTTGTTGTTGTTGCTGCTGTTTTTGGGGGTGGAGGGGCCGTGCGTTCGTGGAGAGCTCTCGGAAGTGTTGTGTACGATGTGACTGAGCCAGTCAGGGGTGGGCAAGGAGGTGGGGTCGGGGAGGGATCTCGCAGGGCACGGTATCGAGGTGACCGGCGTCGGGGGCACAGGCCCCTATCATCATGTGCACCGAGGGGGACACATCGCACGCACACCGCACACACACACTCATCGAAGGCCTCCCTGGGTGCAAGGCCATCCCGGAAGTACAACGGACGCGTCGCTGTCAATATGCGATGAGCGCGCTTCTCCATAGCGCGTTATACGTATGATATCATTCATATGTGTATGATGATGGGAAAGGGGCGAATAGTGAAGGAAAATAAGAAGATGGAGGATTCTGGGGATTAGGATGATGAGAAGGATGCGAAGGAGGCATGATATTGATGAGGATGACATCGATTAGTTTGATGATGTGGTTGATGAGGATGATGATGATGGTGATGCTGGTGATGATGATGATTATAATGCTGATGACTATATGATGATGACGATGAGGATGACGACGATGAGGATGCTGATGATGATACTTATAGTGCTGATGCTGCTGACGATTACGCTGATGCCGATGATGATGATGGTGATGATGATCGTGATGGTGCTGATGATGACGATGATGATGATGCCGATGATAATGAGGACGATGATCATGGTGGTGATGATGATGACGATTTTGATGATGATGATGGTGCTGATGCTGATGATGCCGATGATGCTGATGATACTGATGGCGATGATGATGATGATGATGATGATGATGATGACAATGATAATGATGATGATGCTGCTGCTGCTGATGATGATGATGATGAGGTTGATGACGATGTTGACATTTTTGTTGCTGCTGATGATGCTGATGATGATGATGATGCTGTTGATGATGATGACGACGATGATGATGCTGCTGCTGATGACGATGATGATGATGCTGACGCTGATGCTGATGCTGATGATGATGATGATGGTGGTGGTGGTGGTGATGATGATGATGATGATGATGATGGTGATGGTGATGGTGATGCTGATGATGATTATTATTATGATGATGATGATCATGATGCTGATGCTGATGCTGATGCTGATGATGATGATGATGATGATGATGATGATGCTGATGATGATGATGATGATGATTATTCGACTTGTGATGCTGATGATGCTGATTATGATGACGATGACGGCGACGAGGAGGAGGAGGAGAGGAAGCAGTATTAGTTATGATGGAGAAGGGCAATGCAATGCAAGACAGACAATCACACATACTTATACTTATACTTATACTTATACTTATACTTATACTTATACTTATACTTATACTTATACTTATACTTATACTTATACTTATACTTATACTTATACTTATACTTATACTTATACTTATACTTATACTTATACTTATACTTATATATATACACATCTGAGAATGTGAGAGAGATAAAAGCAAGAGAGGGAGAGAGAGACAGAGAGAGAGAGAGAGAGAAAACGCGCGCGAGAGAGAGAGAGAGAAAGATCCAGAGAGAGAGAGAGAAGACAGAGAGAGAGAGAGAGAGAGAGAAAAAGAGAAAGAGAGAGAGATAGAGAGGAGAAAGCGAGAGAGAGAGAGAGAGAGAGAGCGAGAGAGAGAGAAGAGATACAGAGCAATACAAAGAGACAGAGAAAGAGAGAAAGAGAGAAAAAGAAATAGAGAGAGAGAGAGACCATCGGCCCATCCCGCCACCGTGCCTGAGTTGTAGGTCAGAGGCCTCTGGGATGCCTGTGGGGATCTCTCGGGGGGCCTCTCGAAAGCCTCTTAGGTTCGGTGTTGGGGTGTCTTGGGGGCCTCTTGGGGTCTCTCGGGGGCCTCTTGGGGCCTGAGTTGGGTCTCTTGGGGGCCTCCTGGAGCTCAGGGGCCTGCTGGCAGTCTCGGGGGCCTCCTTGTGGCGAAGGGCTCGAGATGACGGTTCGCATTCCCCCTCTGGGGCCTCTCTTGGGCCCCCTTTGGGACCCCATTTGGGCCGTCTTGGGGGTCTTTCGGGTGGCATGGACGGGTGCATGCCCGCGCGAGGTCCCTGAAAGAGCTAACGCCAAGCAGCCCTCGCAATCGAATTTGATGGTCAGTCTGGTCAAGCGTCAGCTGGAACGGCTCGAGGAAGAAAACTGCATAAACATAAACTTCTGGAGCTCCGCGCGGATTTCTGTGATCGGCTTCGGGCCCCCTGGCGGCGCCTCCGGCGTGCTCCGCGCGCCAAGGAGGGGTGGCCAGCGCCGACTGCAAGACATCCGCGCGGACCTCGGAACACTTATGGTCATGCCGTATTTCTGTTGTGGGAGGGCGCCGATTGCTGGTTTCGGATCTGCCGTGCTTTGGGGCGATTTTCCCACCAGAAGATTGTATCGGGAATGCAGCCCAGATGGAGCGAAGAAGCCAGGCGGACATTGCCGCCTCAGGAGAGGAGGGCGGAAACGCTCGCGGCAAAGTGGAGCGGAAGTGGCATGAAAGGAGCTGGGACGTTTTCTTATTCGTTGTTTTGCCGATCGGCGCGGGCCCTCCTCGCACCCCCCCCTCCCCCCCTCCCCCATGGAGTAGATCTGGGCTGTTGTTGGCGCCTGTTTCGAGCAGGCGGAGTCTCCCCCCCCTTAGGGCGCACGGTGGCAAGCGGTCGCACTCCGCAGAGGCCCGGAGGCAGACCCCCCCCCCTTCCGCCCACTGTCGAGACGCCGAACAAGAGTACGGTCGCGAGGCGGAAGGGGGGGGGGCGCCGAGGGGGGCCGGCGGATCGAGGATGAGGATATCGAGGAGGGTCGAGGATCGAGGAGGAGGATCAAGGAAGTGGAGGTTCGAGGAGGAGGAGGAGGAGGATCAAGGAAGAGGAGGTTCGAGGAGGAGGAGGAGGAGGAGGAGGAGGAGGAGGAGGAGGAGGAGGAGGATAGAGGAGGAGGAGGAGGAGGAGGAGGAGGAGGAGGATCGGGGAGGTTCCTTCACAAGAGCAGGCCAGATCCGAGGTCGGGCAAGGCGGTCGGCCGCCCAGGCCATCTGGTGCCGTCTGGGGGCTTCTTGAACCGTCTTGGGGCGATCCAGGGGGCCTCTCGGGCCGTCTTGGAGCGTCGAAAGCTAGAACAGGCGAGAGTACACAACTCTGCTGAACATCGCAGGGAAGTGTATGATTTTGGTACCCTGGGGTCCTCTTGGGGGGCCATCTTGTACCGCCTTGCGCCCTCTTGTGCCCTCCTGGCCCGTCAGGTGCCCTCAGGCCTTCGGAAAAGTCACGTGAGGAAGCCCGGGAGCGCGAGGGAGCGCCACGATGATGTGATTCGGGATTTTGGGCTCCTGGCCCCTAAGTAGTAGAAATTTAGAACACTGAATGCAGAGTAGAGATAACTCTAGAAGCATGGGGGACAATCCACTTCGTGTTTCGAGGTACTATGGCGGGTACATACATGTATGTAGATGTTTAACTATACACAGATTGAGAGAAAGAGAGAGAGAGGGAGAGATAATGAACTAGAGAAATGGAGAGAGAGAGAGGGAGAGACCACGAGGAGGAGCACGAGGAGGAGCAGAGGGTTGATCAGGAGGCGGAGGGGGAGGATGAGTAGGACAGGTTGGGGACGGATGATGACGATGCCGACGAGAACGAGGACGATAGCAATGATAACGCTGATCAGGAGGAAGAGCATGAGGAGGAGGAGGAGGAGGAGGAGGAGGAGGAGGAGGAGGAGGAGGAGGAGGAGGAGGAGGAGGAGGATGACGAGGGAGGAGGTACGCACAGCCTTGAGGCGCACAGCTGTCAAAACGACGGCGCGCTGGCCGAAAGGAACCAGAGCCTTCATCCGAGGCCTCGAGCCCCGGGCAGGCACCTCGCCAGCCATTTGGGCGGACGGAGCAGGCTTGGACGGGGCCCACCAGACGTTTTCCCCAATCAGAGCTTGCCTCTGTAGGGGTCCTGGCGGATTCATACGGTTAGGTGAGGTTTGTCACCGATTTCCGCGGCCCACCCGGGTGCCCGGGTGCCTTATAGCCCTATGGTCCTATAGCCCTATAGCCCTACAGCCCTATAGCCCTATAGCCCTATAGCCTTATAGCTTTATAGCCCTATAGCCCCACAGCCCTATAGCCCTATAGCCCAATAGCCCAATCGTCCTATAGCCCTATAGCCCTATAGCCTTATAGCCCTATAGCTCTATCGCCCTATCGCCCCAGAGCCCTAGAGCCCTATAGCTCTATAGCCCTATAGCTCTATAGCCCTATAGCCCTATAGCCCTATTGCCTTTTAGCCCTATAGCCCTATAGCCCCATAACCCTATAGCCCGATAGCCGTATAGCCCCATAGCCCTGTAGCCCAATAGTCCTATAGCACTATCGCCCAATATCCCCATAGCCTATAACCCTATAACCTTAGAGCCTTATAGCCTTACAGCCCTATAGCCATATTGCTGGATAGCCCTATAGCCCTATCGCTCTCTATGTGCCCTATAGACCAATTGGCCTATAGCCCAATAGCCCTGTGGTCCTA